ACAGCGATCAAGAGAACACACACTCACGCGGCTACTGTACATGTCAGGGGTACACCGTACTGGATTGCAGCGGAATGCTTCGTTGATCTCGCCTGGGGCCCTTTCTGCCCCTGCTGAGAGAAGAGTCGCGCCGCCAGCGCCGCCAGGACGGTGGTTTCCCGCCGTGATCGCCCTGGCGCAGTACTTTCTCATCTTCGAGATGGAGTCTGGTGCTTCTCTTCCCACACCTCAGCGTTTTCGTACCTGCACGTACAATCCTATGTTTATTACGGGGCCCACCAGGGCCATGGAGATATCGGAAGAACTTTCGAATATGAATGCAGTTTTTCTCCGTGGGACATGCCGACGCCAAGCAGCATATTCAGAACATAGCCTCTTCCAACATCACAGCCACTGGGAGCTCTCGTTTGGATGGACACGGGCGACGAACAAAAGCTGCGGCGTCAGTATCTTTCTACATCGTAAGCGTCTACCGCGCAATTTCATAAGACGGATCTACACACCTCCAGCCCGACTGGCGGGCCGATGCGGGGCGGTACGCCTCAAATCAAGTTCCTCGGACCTCTTCCTGATTGTGCTCTACTTCCCAGCGCGGTCTTCATGCAGATCTACGCGATCCGGATATCGGTCTACTGCGCAGGCGATGATTGCGTGGACCCGCTCTCTTGTGGAGGGCGCCGGGGCGAGATGTACGCCGATCATCGGCGTGGACCTTAACGATCGGCTCGGGTACAGCTCTGAGGACAGATGCGAGGGGGAGCTCACGATCGGCTACGACCCCCAGACCGAGGAGGAGGACCAGGCCGTGGGCACTCTGGCAGCTGAGGAAGAGGGACTACCGGCACGTCTCTGGCACCAGTGTCTTCGGGATTTGCATCGCATGGCCGTTAGTACCTTTCACCCCGCGGGGGGGCACTTATTTTGCAGCTGGAGGATATAGCTCACGCATCGATTTCGTTCAGATTCCACAAGGCCTTCGCCCTTATGTGGTCAATTGCAAGACTCGACCGTCGGCTGGCAACAGATTGCAGGCCATCAACACGCTGGACACACGAGCTCACCGACCCCTCTACCTTGAGTCCGAGTACACTTTCGAGGCCCAACAGCATCGACGCCATACCTGGGACTACGACAGAATCATGGGCATGCTGCGCGACGACGAGTTCTGCCAGAACGCAGTGGAACATATTCACCAGACGATCTTGGACATCGACGAGGGTGGTTGGATTCGCCGTTGCAGCAGGCCGAACTCGGACGAGGCCTGGAACAGTTTCGCATCGCTGATCACACAGGCCGCACAAGTGGAATTTGACAAGCCGACGGTATTGGAGCAGAAAAAAATTTAACTTGAAGCAGAACGCCCGGAACTTTTAGCACGCCGCAAGGAGATCCGAAATATCATGGAGACGGTGGGTTTCCTTCGAGACGGAGGCGAACATCCCGAACAGGCGGTGATCGAGCTTCGACTGGCACGCATTACGTTTCGGATTCGTCATGTTTCGCGAGACATCACCGCAGAACGGAATGTTGCCACCGCGACGGAGTTGAATGAGGCTTGGGCTCGACACGATCATGCCACGGCGCAGCGCCTGGCGAGGCGCTTGTCTTGCAGGGGGCGGGGGCCTCGTCATCGACGCTATTTCGTCGCGCGGGGTGAGAATTGCGAGGCGCCCGAGGCGAAGCAGCATTCGATGAAGCCAGCTACTGAGGGGGGGGCGGGTGCCCACGCATGCGACCTCACGCGGGAGATGGAGGTTCGTTTCGACGCCACCCACGAGGGGGGCGAGTCCACGCGCGCGGACCAGCAGAGGTACGATGCGACGCAGTTCGCGGACTTGAGTCAGGCGCGTGACGACCTGATGGGCATCATCACTCAACTACGACGCTCGCCCAAGAGGAAGGCGACACCACAGTGGTCTATCCCTTCAGAGTTGTGGCTGATTCTCTTGGACGAGGAGCAGTGGTCGAAGTTCACTCGCGGCGGCCTCGGCAGCGACATCAGACCGTCGACGGCGCAGGGTTTCAACGAGAGGATCGTGGATATACTGGCCTGTTTCAGGCGGACGACGACCACTCCCTTGATCTTCGACATATCATCTTGTGTGGGCCCCGACAAGCGGACACGTATCCTGGCGATTACAACGCCCGGGCCTTTCACATGCCATCGTGAACGGGGGCGCCACGAACGCGTTCGCCAGTTTAAAAAGGGGCGTCATTCTTGAGACTACCGGGGGCTTGTACGCTCCAGAGGACTTCAGATTTCAGCGCGCCCGTGCAATCCAGGGGGGCCTTCCAGATCGAAACTCACTCGGGGCCCGTAGCTCTCAGGCCGACGACGGGGGAGATGATGTCCAGTTTGGGCCTTTCCTTACTACTACTTGAAGGGGGTCGAGCCGTTCCTCTCCTATCGGCGAGCTACTAGGTCGGCCCGATACGCTCTGGCACACGAGCCCGACGACACGACGACGGATGCGGGGATCACGGCTTACGCTGGCGACATACGAAGTGCGTTACTCCAGGCTGGGGGCCACCGCCACATCCAGGGGGGGAGAGGCAGCTCACCTATTGGCCCTGGCCCCCTCGAGCAGTAGACGTCTGTCAGAAAATCTTGAAGAGGTAGGGGTTCGACTTAATGATGATAAGCGAGCCACGCTAGCCAAAGTTTTTGAGGCTGGCTGCACGACACAGCGCAGACTACTCTATTCCAGAGCTCTGCCCTACCCAGGACAACGTGGACGATTTATGCGAGTTTTGGGCGGGTGGCTTACTACTTCGGGATCGCTACAAGTTGAGAGAACTAAACGACTACAAGCGGGCAGGACGGGTTTAGGCACGATATCAAACTTCCCAGTGCACAACGCGGCGCTCAGTATTAAACGCATGTCGATCATCGCGTTTGCGCAATCAGCCTTATTATCGGGAACGGAAGGTCGTATTCCAGATGATTTTTAGCCGGCGGCTTCGGACGAGATCGTACTTCGGGCTATGAGACGGGGACTGGGGTTGAGGGGCCTCTCGGAACATGAGTCTGGCGAGAGGCGTAGATGGTCCTCTCAGCGCTTGGGGCAGCACTGGCGCATCCTACCCACTGCACAGGAGCTCCAGGTACGTCGGTTGAAGTGGTACCAGAGCTGGGCACATTTTCCGTCTTGTCACAGGCAGACGCGGGCTGCGATTCTCGGGGGCACGGGGGGCGACGGCTCGATTGACGAGGACTGGAACATCACCCCCCAAGCAAACCCATGGGCCAAACAGGTTTTACAGGACTTGCAGCTCGGGTGCGAAATCTCGGGGGAATTTCAGGACCTGGCCCCCTCGGAGTTCCCGCTAGTACGTCTATTCTACTGCGATGACTATGCGAAATGGGTCGACATCGATTTCACGATCATCCGAGCGAGCTTTTTTACCAACTCCATCGGACCGCCGATCGACTCGAGCACGATAGACGAGCAGAGACAGGAGGATGACGAGGGCGACGAGGACCGTTCGAAGCCATACGAGTGTCAAATGCGAGACGCAGATGGTAGAGTTTGCGGTGAAGTTTCCCCCACGATGAAGAGTTTACTTTTACACGCGGTCGGGCCCATCGAGTGCGAAACGAAGCTGCAATGTTGACGGTGACCAACCAATGTTTCAGACGCCTTCAAACCCTGAGCACAAAAGAGAATGCGCAGAGACACGTCATGAGAAGCTATCAAAGAAACGTTTGTTATCGCGGCAGGAGTTCTTACAGCTCATCAGAAGTTATTCAGCCTCGGTGTTTAGCGTGCCCGGCTTGCAGTTTCACGGCTCAAACGCTACTGGACCTTCAGATTCACATTCGTGGACATTGCGCTCTTCCTCCACCGAGGATAGTACAGGCACGCCTACAGCCGTGGCGCCGCCATGAGCTCGATGGACCTCGAGACGATGCTCAAGCGCCACCAGCCCGCGGCAGAAGCAGTGGCCCCCAGCGGAGGAGGAGCAGGCGCGGCATCAGGCGGCGCTTCGGCACACCAAGAGGCACCAGACAAGAAGAAGCAGAAGCTCGCGGATATGGCAGAGGCAGCAGACGAGGCCCCCCTCTGGGAAGAGGGCGCGCTCAAGCAGAGGGACATGCAGCAGGCTCTCATGGTGCTCCTCAAACTATCGTGCCAACGCGCGCAACAACTACGCGACCTCGCCGCTTCAGAATGGTTATCCGTTCTCACGCCGGCGATCGCCGAGGTGGTCAAAGCAGGACGGGCAGCAGGCAAGCAATACTCACAAGCCGCGCAGATCGAGGCTCTCAAACCGCAGCTGGGGCCACCTCATTTGTACATCGCGCGCGCCGTGTACAGGTGCCTGGCGGAGTCGACGGCATTGCAGACCAACGAGCCGCAGTCGCACCTGATAGTCGACGCGTTCTACAAGAAGTTCGCGTCGGTGGCCTCAGTCAAAGAGCTCGCGCTGATGGTCAGGCGTTTCAGGCTCAAGAAGTGCTACAACGACGAATACACGCGGATCCAGTTCTCCATCGCAGACGCCCTCTAAGTACCAGCAGCCGAAGGAACGGACGAGATATCGCACAGCAAGTTGGAGATCGAGAACGCCACGAGCATCTTGTTGGAGGAGCTCGGCGGCAAGGCGAAATGGGGAGCGGCCCCCTCAGGGGCACTTGGAGATGCTGGCGCAGAAGCTATTGGACAGGACGAAGTCTCGAGAGGGAGGCAAAGGAGGCCGCAAGAAGTAGCTTGGGAAGATCGCATGGCAGCACTCCGTGAGCGCATTCGGTAGAAAGAATCACAGACTCCAGTCACTTAACCGGTTGCGGTCGCCGCCTCAATATCCTATTTTCGTGGAGATCATCACGCCTTTTGAATTGGGAGTATAGGCTCCGACATATGACGCATGGGTTTGGACAGTGGCAACTATTCTTACGACTATGCAGGTTCCCCGATGGTGCATTATCTCCTGGATGGTTCTTGATCGGAGTTGAGTTCTTGAAGTGCATTGTCTCATGTTTACTCGTTTGCACGCGGATGACCTTCACTACCTTCGACAGCGGCTACCCCTCCTTCTACACGTTCTGGAGTGTCATCACGTACGCCGATTGGACGGATTATTCTCACTACACGGATGGTGGTTTTGTGACGAGTATTTCCAGTTGCTTCGCAGGCTTCGGCCTCGGCTTCTGCGAAGGCGGCGGGGGCGATGCGCCCAGCGCCTAGCCCCCACCTACACCGACCACTCACCCAGCTACCTTTATTGCGAGTGTGCTACGCCTAGTCTTCCCCGCGCCCCCCTCTCACTCGTTTTTCTGTTTTTCCTGTCGGGCTCCTTGGGACCCGTTCTCGGCCGAGGCCTAACGGCCGCGGCCCCTGAGTCGGGGAGCTTCGGATCACACCAGAGGCGCTCCTGAGAGGCCCTGAGAGTTGGGTGCAGAGTGCGTTGGTCTCTGCCGCTCTCGACTTGGGACTAGCCTCTTGTCTCCCAAGAGCCCGCTGCGAAAGCCCCACGCGTCACCTCGTCGGGCCCTCGCGAGTGCCCGCTGCAGGAGCCACGAGCAGTGCGCTCAGCATTCTTTTGGGCCGCGCCAGCGGACTCTGGCTAGGTCGCCTCTTTCTCTTCATCCTGAAGCGCGCGATGAGCCACCTCACGCGCTGGGAGTTCAGCGCAGGACCCCGCGTCTCCTAAGGCTCTCGGCCGAGCTCCCCTGACAAGGCCGCGCTGCAATCCAGTACGAAGCTGTTGGATGTAATTCAGAGCTCCCTCCCACCACCCACACCTCCCCCTTGCTTCCTCGTTCTTGGATCGGCGGTTGAGGGAGGAGCGAGGAGGAGGGTTAGAGGGGTGACCTGGAGCGACGAATTTGTTACTTGAATTTTTGACGTGACAGGGGGGGTGCCTTGGACGCCCAGCCAGGCACACCCAGTGCCGTTGGCTTCGGGCTCGTCGAGGCCCGAGGGGCATCACCCCCAGCCCAGCGAGATATTGCAAGTTGTTTCTTCCTGAATGAGTTTCCCACGAGGGATTGCACGGTGCGTGTCACCAAACACCTCCTTGGATGAGCAGCCTCACCAGGGACTGTGTGAGGTACAGCCTTGCTTCGAGCGACGGCTCGAGGTCTGCAGGTCGCAGCGGACGAGACCACTCGCAATGCCGAGTCTTCTT